GGTTGCTCCCGGCAGGCCGTTTGCTCAAATTTGCTGCCCGTGGGCCAGCACCACATGGGGACCCTGTCCAAAAGATGCTTCCTGCAGCTGCAGTCGATCTGGGGTCTGAGAGAGCTAGAAAGGACCCTGTTGATGCACCAGCTTCAGGCAAAGACTGAGTGAGCAGCAGGACATGGTCCCCCAACCCTGGGGGATTGGCTTTCCCTCTCCTCTTGATGCTGAGAAGAGAGGAAAGCTGAAGGCTCACGCTCTGGCTTGGCAGCATCCCCCACAGCCCCGCGCTTCCACCGCTAGAGAGCAGGCTTGTACCAATACAAGGACTGGGCGCACATATGCACTGGACCCTGGGGTGACCCCCTTATACTCATGGGTGTGACATCCGTGTCACAGAAGCCACTTAGGCTGCTCAGCTGCATGCCCAGCCCCTCCATCATGCCCAGGCCCTGCCCAGCGGAGGAGGGTGGATCATGAGACCTTCCCACCAAAACCCTCCTGTGCTCAAAATGCAGCCCCTGCTCCGCCGCATCCCCCCAGCCTCCAGGACCGCTGCTCCAGAGAGGATCCCAGCCCTCAGCACCATTGCAAACTGCCTTCCCCAGCACCCATCTTCCTCCCTGGCTCTGAGCTGGACCAGGCGCCCCCCCAAACAAAACCCCACACACAGCAGCTATTGAGAGCAGAGACCACCTCATGTCCAGACCAAGGGGAAACCACTTCAGAGGCCTGGGCAGGGTTGGGAGGTCCTTCCCCTTCCCCACCAGCCTGTGGGTTGTCAGAACCCACACACCATTGAGCTGCTCATGGCCATGACCGCCCCAAAAGGCCTGTGTGAAGCAGGCGACCGTTCCCCGCTCCCTCGTGGGGCAGGTTAAAAAAGCCGCCTGGCTCTGTCTGGACATGCAGACAAAGCAGCAACAGCCTGGTCACCTCGGCTCACTGGCAGCACCGCGCCAAAGCCCCAGGCCTTGGCGCCTGCAAGGAGGAGCAGAGGGGGTTATGACAAAACCCCTAAGGAGCAGGGGCCGTCAGCTGTGGTATCCCAGCAGCCCTGGGCATCCACGTGGCATGGAGGTCACAAGAATGGTAGCTCTCTGCCCGGCTCGGTGCCTCGGTTTCCCCTCGCCACCCTCCAGCTATTTGGTCTGTGGCCTCTTTGGGGTGGTGAGGGGAAACCGAGGCACAGGGAAGGGAAGTGAGTGGCTCAAGGTTGCTCAGCCAGTCAGTTGCAGAGCTGGGAATAAAACCCAGGTGTCCTGAGCCCCCCACTGCCACCCCTTAAGGAGTCCTCTCAAGCCACCCAGCTTCTTATGGGCAAACTGGCAAAACCAGTGCGCCTCCTGGCATTACAGCATCCAGCATTGCTGGGAGGAAGCTCGCAACAGTGTGGTCCTCAGCTGGGCATTGGCAGGGCACTGTTGAGGGAGCTCACAGCATGGGGGTCCCTGGCTAGGCACTGCTACAAAAAAGTTCGCAGCGCAGCACGGGGTTGCCAGGTGGGAGATGCTCCTCAGGGTGCCCTTCCCTGGACCCTGCTTGGAGGGGGGAACTCGCTTGCACACATGTTCCCCTTTCCCCTCTGCTCCTGCCCCCCAGCCCAGCTCCTGGAGCCACCTCCCCCATATTCCACCTCCGTTGCAACCATGTACATGGGCAAGCAGCCCAGTGTTTGACCTGGCAGAGCCTGGCTGAGGCTTTTTCTTCTTTCAGACAAACCAGAAAAGCCCCAAACGGAGGCTCCCAGAGATCAAAGACCTGGCAGGAGCCCAGGCCTGGGAAGGGCCGTCTGGCCGTGGCCTGCAGCTGGCACCGTGCAGGCATATGCCGCCACCCGGCCCCTCCATGGCATCGCCAAGGGTGTGCAGAGGGGGCATGGGGTGGGCATGAGCGCATCATTGGGTGGCTGCGAGGATCCAAAGCAGCCCTATATTGAATGG